TCCCCCCCCCCCATTTTTTTTATTTTTTTTTTCCTTCTGGTTGCACCTTAAAATATATGATTTAGGCATGAGTCTGTTTAAAATCTAATTAGTTAATACTTTCCTTAATAGTGTCTAGTTTTTATATAAAAATGTGATAAGCAGTTTGGTAGGTAATAGGTATATTATTTGATTTAGACCAGATTTTGACTCTAATTGTTTCTTCCACTTAGACCTGTCTCTCACTCCTGCCCCATTTGTGTATGTTCTTTATAAGTTACCAGCATTCCCTGAATTACATCAACTTAAGGAATATTTTAATATGTGGCTAGTTACATAAAACCTTTTTTCTCCCTATTTTGAGTGTCATAGGAAATGGTTTCATTATGATTGCATGGTTGGAGGAGAGGGGACAGGTGAGGAATCTTTACAGTGACTGGGATTAAACATGAAAAGGAACAAGGATGTTGTTCTTAGTATTTGAGGAGTATATCCTACTCTATGGTGGCTTTTTAGAGAGGACGATGCTCTGAGTGGCAAATGTAAACCTAAGAGATTTATTGAATATGTGGCACCCATATATAGAAGGATAGAACATGGCTCTAGGGTGATAGGTTAACAGCAGTATTTAGAATGAGTATATATAAGGCTCACCGTTGATTTGGGGTATCTGAATGGCTACACAAGAACAGGCCAAGGATACTTCTGCAAGTCAGATGCAGTGCCTTAAGGAGTTAATGAAGTGAGCCTTAGAGAAAAATATCATTGAGATTATGTGTTAGAGTTTAGGTGTGAACATAAGGAGGGAGAGTAGTTGGTTCAGGTTTAAGCTTCCATAGTTTCAGTCCTGGCTCTGACACTAACTGTCCTTGGGCAGGTCCGAGACCTTAACTCCTTTGGGCTTTTGTTTCTTCACTTCTATAATAGGGACTTATCCTAAATAATTGAGTCTTTACCTGCTTCACGGACCACTTCAGACTGCCACAGATGAGAGAAGAATCAAATGGCAGGGTCCTAGGTCTCCCCTTTTGTTTCAAAAACAGCAATTGTCCTTACTTGTGCATAATATTTATTTACTTATTTACTTATTTATTTATTTATATTGATTTCAGGGAGAGGGAGAGAGAGAAACATCAGTGATGAGAAAGAATCATTGATTGGCTGTCTCCTGCATGCCCCCTACTGGTGATGGAGCTGGCAACCCTGGCGTGTGCCCTGAACTGTGACCTCCTTGTTCATGGGTCGACACTCAACCACTGAGCCACAATGGCTGGGTGCAGATTATTTACAGAAAGTATTCTCTTGTTTAAAACTTAGAAAATTATTATTTTAAGTAATCTCTAAAGTTCCATCCAGCTCTGAAATTCTGTGATGAATATATAATTTTATGCTAATCATGTCTATCTTTAAAACTAAAATATGAAAGAGCCAGCAGTCCATATTTACTTCCTCTCACTTTAATAAATCTGCCTTTTTTTTTTTTTTAACATATCTTATTGATTTCAGAGAGAGGAAAGGAGGGGGGGAGAGAGAGAGAAATATCAATGATGAGAGAGTCATTGATCGGCTGCCTAGCCTGCAACCCGGGCATGTGCCCTGACTGGGGATTGAACCCTGATCTCCTGGATCCTAGGTCAATGCTCAGCCGCTGAGCCACGCCTGGCCGGGCAATCTGCCTTCTTAATTGTCTGCATTTAAGACCATTTTAAAATATATAATTTCATTATTTTGTTGACTAGTATTACAATAATTTTTTTCTTAATTATAATTCTCACTGTTTTATTTTAAATAGGGTTTTATTTAGGGTGGCAAGACTTTTACGTGAAAGTGCACTCTGAGTTAATTTTATAAATAAACATCTGTTTGTGAAGAGTCTTGTTACCATACAGGAACTATTTTTCCCTCTCATGATGTAGATACATCCCCCCACCCCCTTGCCATCTTAATCCTGCCATTAATTTCTTTGTGGAATGATCACTGTCTAGTATTCTTTATTCAACATTATACATAAGCATTTAGTAAAAGATACAAATTCTTTTTTGTTTTTTTGTTTTTTTAGTTTTTATTAATTGATTGATTTTTGAGAGAGAAAGATATTGATTTGTTGTTCTACCCATTCACACAACTCATTGGCTGATTCCTGCATGTGCCCTGACTGGGATCCAACCCACAACCTTGATGCATTGGGACAACACTGTGCTGCCCAGCCAGGGCAAGATACAAATTCTTGAAACCAAAAAGTCAGTTACCTAATATTGATATTGTGGATATATGTGAAAGTCCTTTGCAAATCGAAGTGTTAGACAAATGTATTCTTTTTTTCTTTTTCTTTTTTTTTTTAATATATCTTTATTGATTTTTCAGAGAGAGGAAAAGAGAGGGAGAGAGAGATAGAAACATCAATGATGAGAGAGTCATTGATTGAGCCCACAACCCGGGCATGTGCCCTGACCAGGAATCGAACCCTGATCGCCTGAATCCTAGGTCGACGCTCAACCGCTGAGCCACGTCCGGCCGGGCAACAAATGTATTCTTGATAAACAAGGTGCAGAGAACCACAGATGTATCACATGTGTAGAGCATCCCATGTGCTTTTCTTAAATTGCTTTTAAAATTGTTTCGTGCTCATTTTTTAAATGAGTATTAGAGATTTGAGAATTGAATAACTTTAAATGATTTTGTATCTAGAAAATTAATAAAACAGAATTATCCTTTTTGTTTGAAACAGACTTACAAAGAACATTTAGAAGGACAGAAACATAAAAAAAAAGAAGCCGCATTGAAAGCCTCACAAAATACCAGCAGCAGCAACAACTCTACTCGTGGGACTCAAAATCAGTTACGTTGTGAGCTCTGTGATGTGTCTTGTACAGGAGCAGATGCATATGCTGCCCACATTCGTGGTGCTAAGCATCAGAAAGTAGGTGTTTTTTCCCCACACACCCTTATGTCTTACTCTGTTTTCTTTTACTTTTTCAGTAGGGAGTGGGGGGAGGTGTAAAGTAAAAGTGGCTCCAAAACTTTCAGTGTGTTATAAGCCTTGTTTATGTGCTACTATATTTATATATAAAGGCGACACCAAATAATCATTGCTTAGACTAGAAACCTTCCCCCCCCCCTTTTTAAAAAAATGTATTGTTACTGATTTCAGAGAGAGGAAGAGAAAGAGAGATAGAAACATCAGTGATGGAGAGAGTCATTGATCGGCTGCCTCTTGCATGCTCCCCACTGAGGATCCAACCCACAACCTGGGCATGTGCCCTAATGGGGAATCAAGCCACAATCCCTTGGATCATATGCCTAGCCACTGAGGTTGATGCCCAGCCACTGAACCATGCCGGCTGGGCTAGAGACCTTTCTTTTAATCTGGATCATTCTACCAATTAGAAAATTGTATATTTTCCTCCTTTTGTCATGCTTAAGTCTAGGTTGGTATGCATGTGGCCAAGTCATTTCATCTTTCTCTGCCTTAAGTTTCCTCACTGGTAATAGATGGAATATGTATCCCTATCTATTTCACAGAGATTATTTGGAAAGTAATGAGTTTGTATATGAAAATATACAACAAAAAATACAGTTTAATTTTATGTCTTTTAGACAAAAATCTACACTGTTTTCTAACAAATAAATGTGTTTTTATTTTGTAGGTGGTTAAATTACACACAAAACTTGGTAAACCCATTCCTTCAACAGAACCAAATGTTGTTAGCCAAGCTACTGCTTCAACAGCTGTGTCTGTTTCAAAACCGACTGCCTCTCCTTCAAGCATTGCAGCAAGCAATTGTACTGTGAATACTTCATCAATTGCAACTTCCTCAGTGAAAGGTCTTACAACTACAGGAAATTCATCTCTTAATAGCACATCCAACACTAAAGTATCAGCAGTGCCTACAAGTATGGCTGCCAAGAAGACATCTACACCCAAAATAAACTTTGTTGGCAAGTACTGAAGATTCTTTATGGTTTTCCTAACTCCGTCAAAGTAACATTTCTCTTCCAGTCCAGGACTAACCCTTCTGCTTATGCTCTTGTACCCATATCCTCCCTTCTTCTCTAGGACCTTGGTGAATCACATATCTCTTGGTTTTTTACCTTGAATTTTTGGTCCTCTAATGGTTTCTTCTCCTCTTCAGCCATGCAGGTATACCTTTATCTTTCATGGTCTTAAATTAAAAAAAAAATGTTTTCCCATTCCTGTTATCCTCTCAAGCTGCTAACCTAATTCTTTCTTTCTCTACTTCTCTACTTCTTATCCAGTCCTCAGTCAGTTATAGTGTTTCCACTCTACCCTTTTCTGAAACTGCTTTCAGGAGTCACCAAAGACCTGATTGCCAAATTCAGTGGCCAGTTTTTAATTTCATCCTATTGACCTTTCTAATATTTGACACTGTTGACTGCTATACCATAGACCTTAAGATATGTCTTTATTTCTCTATTTATTGTCTGTCTACCCACTCCTTTCTCAGGTATCTTGATTTGTTCTCCTTCCTTCATGTTCACTAAATGGTGGTGTTCCTAAGATTCTGATTTTGTTCTCATCTTACTCTACTCACCCAGTATTCATTTAAAATATTTTGTGAAAACTCTAACCCCCATCTGAGTCTAGAGCCGTATTTTAGGTATCCCCAGTCATTACCTGTACAGCCTACTAGTGCCTCATTCTAACCTATTGTCTCATTACAAGAGTACCATGAAATGACCTCATAAAATGGCTGCCTTTTCACTTGGAAAATTTTACTGACATTATTTTTTCCTATTTATTGCCTCCTCTAGTTCTTTACCTAGTTCTTTTGTTTCTATTACTACAATATTTCTGTGCCCCAAGAAAATGTCTTCTTCATAGCCACTGCCTTGTTTTTAGGCTTCAAAGTCTGCTCCTCAGAGCTTTATCTCTTATTGCATCCAGTCTCTCCAGCACTTATCAAAGTCATTTTGTGAAAATACTTTTCAAATTATGTTAGACTCCTGATTAAAAGTTTTCAGTGTCATTCCCCTTGGTATAGGAAAAAACCTCTATATTCCTTAATTATGTCATCCAAGGCCATTCACATTCTGGCTCCTGCCTCATATGTCATCATCTCTACTAGGTAGTAATTCATAGTGATTTACTGAATCTTTCTTAAGTTTGCTATAGTCTTTAAGTTCGTGTTGGGCTTTTCTTTTACATGCTGTTCTTTTTGTTTAGACAGTATTCTCTTCTTTCTGCCTGGCCACTTCATACTTGTTACTCTCCTTTCAAAGCCCAGTCCAAGTGTCACACCCTTGGTGAAGCCTTTTCTAACTGGATCAGGTTAAAGGGTAGTGGCCTCTTTGCTTTACATTCATACAGTACTTTTTTCATACTTATTACGGCCCTTATCACGTTGTATTATAATTACTTGTATCTTCCCTTAATTGTTGGCACATCAAAAGCAACTACATTGTAATATAGTAATATTCTTACTATATTACCAAAATGTAGGACAGTGTCCAGTTCCCTTGGCAAAGAACTAGGGATACAAACACGAATAAGGCTTAGACCCTACCTTTTTAGGTACTTGGTGTTATGGGAGCCATAGTGGGGATGGAGAGGATCATTGGATGTTGGGTGGTGGAGAAGGGGAAAACCCAGGCGTGTGTTTTATTAATAAGATAAAAAAGCCAAGTGGTTTATGTGGTTCTTCAAATTTCTCATCTATTATATGTCAAGCAAGGGTTTGACTCTTAGTAGAAAAGGTAATTTTATCTGAAGTGTTTGTTGTGTCAGGTTATAAAGAAAGTTAAAATTACTGTAATTCTTTTATGCTTTTCTAGGTGGTAATAAGCTGCAATCAACAGGAAATAAAACAGAAGACTTAAAAGGAACTGAATGTATTAAAAGCACTCCTGTCACTTCTGTACAGATTCCAGAAGTAAAGCCAGACACAGTGTCAGAATCAGTCACACCTGCATCTCTTGCCGCTTTGCAGAGTGATGTGCAGCCAGTGGGCCATGATTACGTGGAGGAGGTATTGATTAAAGAATACCATTGCTGTGAGATTAGATAAAGGGAAAAGGAGTGTCACTTTGTTGTAGGCATGTTTTACATGTAAAATTAAATTATATTCAGTTATATTTTGAATTTAGGTTACTTATGAAGGAATGTCAAAGGGATCTTTTTAAGGGTTTTAAAACGCACACTCTTTAAGCCTAAATGACATCACAATATTTTGTTATCTCTTTCCCTGCTAAAACCATCGCTGTGGTGTAAAGCAGCCCTCCATTGATTTCGTAGGCATTCCTGTATCTTTCACCTGTCCTGAACATAAAAATTTAGAAAATCATGAGCACCAAAAATTTTAACAAAGCCAATATTTCTTTTATTGAACAATTACTTAGTTTCGTGTGTAAAATAAGGGTTGTTAATTTAAAAGACACTGTTTATTTGGTTTTTCAAGCTGATTAGAAAACTATTCCTGTTTTATAGACAAGTAAACTCAGTAGATGGAGGAGTGAGGAAACATCAGAGTGTCTTGATATAAATATTTGCTGTTAGTAGAAAGACTAATAGAATGATGTAGCACTATTCTTTACTCTTTATTTTAGAACGTATGTAAGTTCTATGAACTTCACTGTTTATATCTGTAAAATTTGGCTCCTCCCCCAACAAAGTTGTGAAGAGTAAATGAAATAAAGTACCTGGCATGTAGGTTTTTGGTAAATACTTGTTCCTTTATCCTCTTCCTCATCAGGGTATGTTGGGTTCTTTGTTTACAAGGTGGAAACTGGTCTATGCTGCTTTTAAGTAGTTCACACCCAATTTTAATTTAAAAGAGTAAGATTTGGTTATCTGAAAAAGTATATACCTCCAGAACACCAATCTCCAACTATAATAGTTAACTAAGTAATCCTAAACTTCAGATAGATGCATTCAAAGCCAGTCTTTAAAGCATGCCCTAACAATTTGAACATAGTATTCATCATAAACTTCTTAGTAACATTCTAGTCTCTTGTCTTCCTAACTGGTTGTACAGTTAGAAAAAATTGACATTGATTTTCCATCAAGTTACATGTATAAAATCTTAAGCTTTGTAGAAATTTGTATACCAAAATAATATCTTTAATCATCTTTATCTTCATCTCCAACAACAGTACCTAGTATTCAGTAACTGTTTATTAGAGAATTTATGTATTCTAATTGCATTTAAATGTTTACATATAGACAAAAGTATTAAATTACAGTTAATTACAAAAGCAAATACATGCTAACATGTATGCTAATGCTCCACAGTTTAAAAATTCTTTGTTTTTAGAGATCATCCTTTTTAAAAATTTTAGACATTGCCCTTTTTTTCCTTCTTCACTTCAAACTCTAATTTTTCACAACATTACTTATCAGAGAATCTGGGAGGCCATTTGAATGAAATCTTCAACTGTAGCATTCCCATTATGATTCTTGGATTTTTTCCCCCACATCAAGGTACGAAATGATGAGGGAAAAGTAATTCGATTCCATTGTAAATTATGCGAGTGCAGCTTTAATGATCCCAATGCTAAGGAAATGCACTTAAAAGGGCGAAGACACAGACTTCAATACAAAGTGAGTAAAAATTTCAGCTTTTTTAATGTTTTAGACAGCTTGGAACATTCTAGATATAAAACAAAGCATCTAAGCTAACTCACTGAATCCATGAATTCCTACTCTAAGATTAGCATACTCTGTCTCACTTAGATTCAGATGTTTGTTTTTTATACTGATTAGTTTGTTATACTTAGGTAAGAGATTATAACCATATTTCATCATTCACAGTGATTGTAGCTAAGTGGTAACATTGCTTGGATCAAGTAATCATGTAAAGATAATTCTTTCACATAATAAAGTGTTTTGAAAGAAGTGTCAGGTCTCCATTTGCCAACTTTATCTTGGTAGAATTCGCACTAACATGAATTTTGAGATAAGGAATTCTTCATTGAAAACACTTCAAGCGTTAAGGTAAATAATACATACTGTATGTAAAGTTTTTAATTAGACAACTAATCTAATGCATTAGATCCATGTTTTTTCTCTTATAAACACAGGGGGTGAAAATTAAAATAGTCTGTTAAAGGGCAATACTTTTTTATGAAAAGAAACTTTCTTTTTTTAAGAAACTTTTTAATATCACACTCAGACATTTAGAATCATCTGTTTACAAAAAAATAAAGTTGAATATCCATTAGTCTCCTAAGGATCTCTTCTATTGGTCAGCACTAAGCCATGTAGTTTTTACGAACTGAGTAAGTAATTTGAAACTTGGAAAATTAAGAATTTTGGGGGTGGGAGGGGAAAATGAATGTTTTATTAATGTATTCTGAATCTTTCCTCTGATTCAATTTCTATGCTGAATTTACTCTTATATAATAGGAAATTTGCAACTAAAAAGCCTCTGTGATGAAAGAATATGTGGGATTGTATGATTTTTAAAATGTGTAGATTGTTGAAGGGGGGTGCTAGTTTTTGAAATGTCTTGTCTATATTAACAGAAAAAAGTCAATCCAGATTTGCAAGTAGAAGTAAAGCCCAGTATTCGAGCAAGAAAGATTCAAGAAGAGAAAATGAGGAAGCAAATGCAGAAGGAGGAGTATTGGCGAAGACGAGAAGAAGAAGAACGCTGGAGAATGGAAATGAGGTAATAGCTTTAACTTTTAGTAGCATGATAAGTGGTTCGGCCTTTCTTTAAAAAAAAAAGGGGGGGGTGGTATTCTGAGTATGGGACTCCCATTCAAAGCAATCCAGATTTACTTAGTGTACTTCTAATTTTCAGTTTTCAGGAAGGTCATAGGTAAGTTATTGGCTATTCTAATATTTGACCATGGCCTTGGGAGTAGGAATTATGTGGTTAAGTGGTATCTTGTATGTATTAAATATATGAAGAAATAGTTTAATGTTATAAATAAATGCCTCAGTTTAAAACAAGCAAAGTAGAACATTTGGCTACATGCTAAAAATATTGAATATAAGATTTGGGAGAGCCTGGCCTGCGTGGCTCAGTGGTTGAGCATCAACCTATGATCCAGGAGATGGCGACTCTATTCTCGGTAAGGGCACATGCCCGGGTTTCGGCCCGATCCCCAGCAGGGGATGTGCAGGAGACAGCCCATCAGTGACTCTCTCATCATTGATTTTTCTGTCTCTCTCCCTCTCTTTTCCTCTCTCTGAAATCAGTAAAGACATACTAAAAAAAAAGATTTGGTAGAGTCTAGACATCTTAGTGTTTTTTTAAAAGAAAGTTAGAGGCCATAGGGAAAGAGAAATGAGAAACATCTTCCATAGAGATCTTCATTTTAAGGGACATACCTTTAAATGGTACAATTCACATATATTCACTTGTACAGCCATCACCACAATCAGTTTTAGAACATTTTCATCACCTCCCCTAAAAAACCCAAGAATCAATTAACAGCCACTGCCTATTTTCCCCCCATCCCCTCCCTCTACCCCTAGGCAACCACTAATGCACTTCTCTTTCTGGATATTTGCCTATTCTGGAGATTTCATATAAATGGAATCATACAATAGTTGCTATTTTTTGTCTGGCTATTTTCACTTAGCATAATGGTTTCAAGGTTTATGCATGTTATTGTATATGTCAGTACTTCATTCCTTTTTATGGTTGTACCACATTTTGTTCATCAATTGATGGACATTTGTATTGTTTCCACTTTGGGGCTATCATGAATACTGCTGCTATGAGTATTTGTGTGCCAATTTTAAAATGTAATTTCAAAAACTATGAACAGAAACATAATATATGCATATTTTATAACCCACTTTTTTCATTTACATATCAACTTTTTAAAAAATTAAGCCAGACCCTGGATGGTGTGCTCGGTAGTTTCGATCATCAGCCTGTGCACCAAAGGGTCGCTGGTTCAATTCCTGGTCAAGGGCACGTACCTTGGTTCTGCAGGTTTGCTCCCTGCCCCTATTTGGGGCACATGTGAGAGGCAACCAGTCAAGTAACTATATTTCTTCCCCAGAATCATGAGAATGACATTGTTTTATATTTTTGCAAATCTCTTTAATGTCTGATTTAAAAAAGAAGGCAGCATAGGCCAGCCAGGCATGGCTTAGCGGTTGAGCATCAACCTAGGATCCAGGAGATCGAGGTTCGATTCCTGGTAAGGGANTATTTGCCTATTCTGGAGATTTCATATAAATGGAATCATACAATAGTTGCTATTTTTTGTCTGGCTATTTTCACTTAGCATAATGGTTTCAAGGTTTATGCATGTTATTGTATATGTCAGTACTTCATTCCTTTTTATGGTTGTACCACATTTTGTTCATCAATTGATGGACATTTGTATTGTTTCCACTTTGGGGCTATCATGAATACTGCTGCTATGAGTATTTGTGTGCCAATTTTAAAATGTAATTTCAAAAACTATGAACAGAAACATAATATATGCATATTTTATAACCCACTTTTTTCATTTACATATCAACTTTTTAAAAAATTAAGCCAGACCCTGGATGGTGTGCTCGGTAGTTTCGATCATCAGCCTGTGCACCAAAGGGTCGCTGGTTCAATTCCTGGTCAAGGGCACGTACCTTGGTTCTGCAGGTTTGCTCCCTGCCCCTATTTGGGGCACATGTGAGAGGCAACCAGTCAAGTAACTATATTTCTTCCCCAGAATCATGAGAATGACATTGTTTTATATTTTTGCAAATCTCTTTAATGTCTGATTTAAAAAAGAAGGCAGCATAGGCCAGCCAGGCATGGCTTAGCGGTTGAGCATCAACCTAGGATCCAGGAGATCGAGGTTCGATTCCTGGTAAGGGAACATGCCTGGGTTGCGGGCTCCATCCCCAGTTGGGGGCGTGCAGGAGGCAGCCAATCAGTGATGACTCTCATCATTGATGTTTCTCTCTCTAGCCCTCTTCCTCTGTCTGGAATTAATAAAGATATATTTTTTAAAAATAAATAAAAGGCAGCATAATTCTCATATCTACATCTATGTTCAGTATGTCATGATACCACATTTTGCCTCTGGATAATTCCATTTTACACTCATAGGAGAATGAGAATGGAAAAGGCAAAATAAATGTATTAACATTATTATGAAAGTAATTTTGAAGTTAGTGATCCCTTGAAGGGGTCTCAGGGGCCATCTGGGGTTCTTGGATCACACTTCAAGAACTGCTGCTATAACTTATTTAAATCTCTGCCAGTGGGCCCTGTCTGGTATGGCTCAGTAGGTTGGGCGTCTTCCTGTGCACGAGGAGGTTACTGTTTCAGTTCCCAGTCAGGGCACATGCCTGGGTTTCGGGCATCCCGGTGGGGGATGTGCAGGAGGCAGCTGATCAATGTTGCACTCTCACATCAATGTTTCTCTCTCTCTTTCCCTCTCCCTTCCTCGCTCTCTAAAAATCAATAAACTATTCTTTAAAAAAAAAAATTTCTGCTAATGAGAGAGTGAAATATGAAAACCATTTGTGTTTGTATGACTTGCAAATTGAATTTTTATTTCATGCTTGACTACTTATATTTCTTCTGTGGTAAATTGCCCATTTATCTTTCTGCCTACTTACCTGTTGACTCATATAGACATTTATGTTGTAGATATTAAGTCATTATTAACACGTTACTTTTAAATAATTTTTATTCTCGTTTGTGTACTGATTTTTTTTAAATGTATTTAAATCTACCAGTCACATTCTTTATGAAGTTTCTTCCTTTGCCATGCTTTGGAAATTCTTCTCTATTCCTACATTATGCAGTTATTTTCTCTTCGCTGATATATTGTTTATTTATTTAAGCACCTACATGTACCTGAAGTACTCGGCATTGAGTGTGAATTGGTAAACAATGGATAAAGTTCCCTGCCCTTATTTAACTTTTTTAGTAATAACTGTTTGAAACTGGAATGAACATAATTTATCAAAGCCTTCAAGCTATTTTTATTCATTTTCTCTCAAGGCCTAAATAACATTGACAGTGTTGTCCTAAGTTGGATGACCTAAAAAAAAGCACTGCTTATTCCCAATCTGGCAAAATTGGTAATTTCTACAGTGCTACTTGAGAAGCATACCTCTCACATTTTGTATTAAATAAATTTGTCTACTAAAAGCTTATTGTTAACAAAAATTTTCTTTAAAGACATGATTTCCCTTAGGAGCTACTGTTACCTAGTTTGAAGCTGAAAGTGAGAATAGAGCTGAAAGAGTAAGATGATGAAAAGTTAGATTCTGTAAGTGTTGACCATTAAAGCAGAGACTGTCTACTAGTTGTCCACAGTTCAGGTTCAGCCCATGGGTGTTTTATTTGGTACACATGGTATTTTGAAATCTGAACTAACACTTAAAGACCAACCTCAACCTTTAAAAGACATTTAAAAACATTAGAATCCTGGTGACCTTGGGATTACATATATTACCTTACAGCAATAATTAATAGGAGCCAAGTCACAGCTGTTGTCTCTAGCCAGAACATGTGACTTGGTACTTTTACCATAGTCTCCATCACTCATAATATTCCCAGGAATGAGACAGGATGTGAGTTGCCATTTATCATTGTCTTGTACTGTTGTTCCTCATAGTAGAGAAATGTCTTTGTTTTTACCTGTATCATAAATGGGAAAATTAAAGGTAGTTTTAAGAGGTTCTCTCTAAGGAAAAAATAGGAGAGAACACATTTCTTTGGATTCATGAAGAAATTCCTAAATGTTTGCTTTGGATCTTCTACATACACACATATTGGTCTGGACACTTTAGGGAGGCGTTTAAGTTGACAATTTCTCCCTTAAAGAGGGAGCAGTTGGAAGGAACCGAGGATTCCAGTGCTTGTTCTGTCAACTTTGACCGCAGACTGTGAAATTTTGTTTTGCTTTTCTCCCTGTATTCTCACCTTCTCTTTTCACTTCTATTCACTCCCATTTGCTTCTAAATGAAAGCAAATAAGGGAAAGTCAGTTACAGTAGGGAAAAAAGGAAGGCATCATCAAGGCTGATTTGAAGTTCTAATAGCTTTTTATGTGATTGTTTATGTCATTTTTCTGCAGGCTTGTAATGCCCCTCTCTGTGTTTTAGACGCTATGAAGAGGACATGTACTGGAGAAGGATGGAGGAAGAGCAGCACCACTGGGACGATCGCCGCCGAATGCCCGACGGTGGCTATCCTCACGGTCCCCCTGGCCCGCTAGGCCTCCTCGGAGTCCGACCAGGCATGCCGCCTCAGCCACAGGGGCCTGCAGTGAGTGTCCACTTCGTTCATGTGGGGGGACAGTGTAAGGCTGGTTCAGCATTAGAAGATAACAGTTTTGGGGGGCCAATTCTTAAACTTAATCATCTCATCATCTTGCTATAAATTCATCTGCTTTAGAATTTTTTCTCCTTTTATTACAGGTTCTCAGTGCCTGTCTTTACGTATAAAGGCTTCATAGAATTTCCATGAGTCTTTTCTTTCAGTATAAGCTAAATGGGAATAGAGCTTCTTTGTCAACATAAGAGATTGTCTTGCCTTTGTTGTTTAGATTAGATTAGCAGGAACTGATTTATCTTTCCATTACCAGTGGTTTAGAATATTTTTTCCCTCTTCAAATCCTGACCATCTAAAACCTACTACTACTGAACTGAGTGCAAGATAAGGGGTAGTACATAAGTAGTTCAAGATTAGCACCACAGTTGATGTATTAGGAAAATTCTAGGAAATATCTACATCTTAGAGTTTGTGTTCTGTGGAATCTGGGTAAAAGAAGAGACATCTAGGGTGTGAGGAACATTTCATAGAAGTTCAGACTACAGAAAACAAAAGGATCTTTTTGTTGGTTTTATTTTCTAGAGAACACTTAGAAGAAAACAGCAAATTCCTCCTTTTTAACCTATTCTCTTGCTCATTTGTGTTTACACAGAATAAGCATCAGTGAAACATTTTATTATAAGCAAAAAATATTTTCCGAATCACTGGTTTTTATAAATTTTTTTTTTCCCCAAACATATCTTTATTGATTTCAAAGAGAGGGAAGGAAGAGGGGGAGAGAGAGAGAGAGAGAGAGAGAGGGAGAGAGAGAGAGAGAGAAACATAAATGATAAGAGAGTCATTGATCGGCTGCCTAGCCCGCAACCGGGGCATGTGCCCTGACCGGGCATCGAACCCCGATCTCCTGGATCCTAGGTCGATGCTCAACCGCTGAGCCACGCCCGGCCAGGCAGAATCACTGGTTTTTAAAATTGAGTAAAAAAGTATTATAACTTGAAATGGTGTGTGTTATAATTTTACTTGTTTTGAGGCAAAGTATGTATTTTACGTAGTATAATTTTCCATAGTTTTTTTTTTTTTACTGAAATGGAAAAAAGGAGAAGATAATTTTAAATGGACATTTTGCATAATTGACTTTGTTATTGAGAAGATAGGATGAAAATATGTGTATTTTAGAAATCATAGGTTACTTTTGCTTAAGAAACTTTTTTTTAAATGAAGTAACTTTTTTTTCTGTAGCCTTTACGTCGTCCTGACTCATCCGATGACCGTTATGTAATGACAAAACATGCAACCATTTACCCAACTGAAGAGGAATTACAGGCAGTTCAGAAAATTGTTTCTATCACTGAACGTGCTTTAAAACTTGTTTCAGACAGTTTGTCTGAACATGAGAAGAGCAAGAGCAAAGAGGGAGATGATAAAAAAGAGGGAGGTAAAGACAGGTGTGTCTTCAAAGTTATGTACTTTGTATATTTTTGCTTTTCCTTACATGGCCTTACACTTGAAATAAAAGTTACAAAGACTGAAACTCTGGTGTGAATCTACATGCTTATCATGCTTGGGTATCTGATGTATTCAGCTGCTTTTTGCTAAAATGAGAAATACTCAATTTCATACAGTCTCCAACCTTGTAAATTTACACATTTAGTTTAAGTTTATATAAAACTATTTTTATATACCTGTGATGCTCTCAACAATAAAGACAAACTTTAAAAGAAAAAATAATAATAAAAAATAAAAGATGTTTTAAAAAAAACAAAAACTATTTTTAGTTCATTTTCAAAGCTGCGTTTGTAGTTTTCGAATTGCATTCATCTGCTGTTCAGTTTTTATTGATTGCTTCTGTCCCACATTCAGTCTTTGTTTTAGCAACTTCTTTTTCCTTAATGCATTGACCATAAAGCATGAATAAACCCAAGGTTTAGCAACATCTTTCCAGTTTTGCATTATGACCTTTTAACTTTTCATGGTCCCTTTATTTGGAAATATTTTTGTATTATATCAGTAATGACTCTTACTCTAATTTGTAAAATGTGACACAGAAATGTTAATGTTCTATGTTTTTCAGTTGTCCCTGTGAGAACGTAACTCTTGACTTATTTATCGATTTTCTATATAAATGAAAGGTCCTTCCAAATATTGAATGTTTTTATACTGTAGTTGATGAAAAATTTAATAGTACAGAAAGTTATTCAATTTACTATTGTGTGTTCAGACTATCATTGTTCTGGCTGAAAAGAGAAATGTCATAACTTGATTTTACTGCAGAGCTTTAAAAGGAGTTTTGCGTGTGGGAGTATTGGCAAAAGGATTACTTCTCCGAGGAGATAGAAATGTCAACCTTGTTTTGCTATGCTCAGAGAAACCTTCAAAGACATTATTAAGCCGTATTGCAGAAAACCTACCTAAACAGCTTGCGGTAAGTATTATGGAAATGTTCATTTTTACCCCTTGCCTGGTTCAGAAGTTTTTGGCAGAACTAACTGTGCTTCAGCTTAAACCTAAGCCAGCCCTTAAAATTTTGGCTTTACTTTCCATGTTGAGTTTTATTCTTGGTTGTGCAAATTGATAGAGCTATCTTCTACTTTGTCTTTTTAGGTTTTATAGTGCTTGTATATGGCATGAAGCCGTCTTAGGGATTTATTTTAAAATGTAAAATTGCATGTCCTGTTTATGTTCTTTTTCCAAGATTTGAATCATCCGAGAGAAAGTGATTTTTTTAAACAAAGACCATGTATAGCAAGCTTAAATTTTTAAAAATCATGAACCTCTTGCCTACTTACTTGAATGCATGTTTTTAATAAAATATGATAAAGTAATAGTCTTTCTGATTTGAATTTCCCCAGTTTTATTGTAGTTATTTTTAGTTTTCTACATGTTATAATGGTAAGAATTACTTCTCTGGTGTCCATTAAGTCATGGCACAATACACAATTAATAGAATATCTCCTTTTGGTCCTACAAATGCAATGTGTTTTTTTCAATTTTGAATTTTTAAAAGTTTTATACATTAACTTGTTAGAATCTAAGGCTGAGATTTAAACTAAAGATTCCTTGAGTAATTTAATGTATAAAACTTATTTCAAAATCTAGCAATTTAATTAGGCATTCTAAATCCAAGAATTGACATTTTATTGGTAATGTGTATTGTAATGAATCAGAACAAATAGTACCTGACCACAGCAAAGCAACTAATAGCAAAGGAATGATGAAGCATGCTATTGAGCTTAAGTTCTGACAACTCTGGCACTTACTGTTGTTTGCTTTGTATTACTGTTGTTCCAGATACGAAGTTTTTAAGTATTAGGAGCCAGCAGAATTGGCATTGTCTACTTCTTACCTCTCTGTTGAGGCTGCTAGGACAGTGAGGAGAGCAAAGACGTTTGAGGACCTTGAAAGAATTATGTAAACTTACAAGAAACATCTTGATCCTAATTGTGGTGCTTATTAGTAAAACCACAAAGCAGGAAATGTTGTATATTAACTAAATAATTAACAGTTAAAGTGAAAAGCAGAATATTCTTTCCAAATCATTCTGTACTTATTATACAAGTGGATAAGCAAGAGAAATAGAATTCATCATCATCGTCATAGTTAACATTTATATAATACTTATTGTGTACCAGGTAGGCACTGTTTTAAGTGCTTCATATAGTTAATTCACTTAATCCTCCAGTGATCCTATAGGATAGAATTACTGTCCTATTTTATAGAAACAGGTATAAGGGAATTCAAAGAATTCTAAAAGGAAAGTGGAGCGATAGTTTAATGATATTTTCATTTAATGCAAGGCTTCTCAAGGGGAGTAGATATGACCTAGTCCTTATAAAATGCTTATGGTAGTGAGAAAATGAAAGAGCTGTGATGAATCAGCTTTGTCTGATAACGTAAAAGGTCCAACTAATTTCTTATACTCTTCATTTATATAGGTTATAAGTCCTGAGAAGTATGACATAAAATGCGCTGTGTCTGAAGCGGCAATAATTTTGAATTCATGTGTGGAACCCAAAATGCAAGTCACTATCACCCTAACATCTCCAATTATTCGAGAAGAGAACATGAGGGAAGGAGGTTGGAAAGCCATTAAACATTCTACTTTTCTATTAACTTTTTTTTTTCCATTTACCTACTCTTTAAGATGGCATTAAGCCCTAGAAGGCAACATGCTGGCATTACATATGAATTTGATAGATTTGATTTAACATAGCAACCAGTTTTACTTAAGATTATTTCCCCGAAAGTAAATGCTCTTTTTAGTAATGTACTTTTATATAAAACACTCATGGTATTATTGATTTTCTTGATTTTTTTTTTTTTCTTTTCTTGCTAACCTCAGATTTCTGGAAAAAAAAAGTTCAAAATTATTCTTACCGACATAGTCACGACACATGAAAAAATTAAATGTTGCTTCTAAGGGGCCACAAATTTAACTTCTTTTAAGAAGTTCTTGTTCTTGCCTTGTCTTAGAAAAAAAGACAAGAGTTTCAGAAGTAAAATTGTGAAACACTCATAAGTTATATTTTTAGAGACATTGTTATATGTGTGATCATGGATTTGGCTTGTCCTGTGGTAAAAATATTTCTAGTTCTCTGAGGTTGTTCTTTGGTTTGGAGCGCTTTTGTAAATGCAGAGTATCCTGTTGCACGTAGATTTGGGCATTTGACCCCACTATTATACTAGAGGTACTGAAAAATAAATGGTGTAGCTGTAGTTAGTGAGTTATAGTACAATTCAGGATTTACTTTACAATTATAGAATATGAAATCCTGCTGGTGCCAGCAATGTTGCTTTAGGGACTGTTCTATAACATTTTCAAAGCTTCAAAAGCTTAAGCCAAAAAGCATGGTCAGTGTCTGCCATATGTTGGTTCTGTTGTTTTATGGGTCAGATAAAATTTACTTTGTTTCCTTTCATGTTGTTTTTGTACATCCTAACTTGTTGATTATGGAGTTATAGTCTACACTAGTATTTCTTTGTGATACATACAGGAGAAAAAAAATACTATATATTGAATATTGAAATTTGTCTAAAATAGCATCAGTAGGCTCTCAATTACTGTCAATTTAAATTTGTTTTCTTACAGCAAAGCAATTTTTTTTAAGGCACTGGGCTTTCTACAACCCAGAAAAAGAACATTTTATTTGAAACATCATTGGGAGACTTGTCTAATTTTGCATACTTTGTGTATACACCATATCAGGACTTGTGTGTTCTATAAGCTTTGCATCTTAAAAATAAATGAATTTTATGTAAAGAATCTTTTATATGAACATGAATTTTCACTCAAGGCCTGGCCATGGATATTACTGGAAAAGCAGTTCCTGAGTCAATCTGGTCAATTCATATGCAGCATATGACTCTTGGGATTGGGGGAGGAAAAAATCTTCTAACATAATATAAGTAAAAGTTGCTATATTTAGGATGAAATTATTCTTGTATAACCTTTTAACTTTATTTCAGAGCATATTTTGTCCAATTATATTTAGCCTGTTTAATTTGTGCTGTATCAAGTCATTTTATGTTGCAAAAGTCTAAAGTCAATGGTATCATATTTGTAGTAGAGTGTTTAATAACCTATCCCTTTTAAAGGAAACAAAATTATATTTTTGTCTGACCCAGACTTGATTTAGAATTATTGTTCTGAATTTCATAAATATTATGTTGAGAGAAATGATCAGTCCAAAGTTGAAAGATTATCCTTCAAGACACTGAGCTGAAAAGTTGGATGTGCAAAATGTAGAAACATTGATAGTGTTCCTTGCTGCAGATAACTGCAGTAAACCATGTCTTTAGCTTCATTATGAAGATTGCTTCTTTCTTGCTGCAGAATAACGGTATGTATTGTCTCACTGCAGCTCCCAATGCTCTGTGTCTTAAAATCATTTAAAGCCTATAGCTTGCTTTGGGGAGTTAGTACAGGGGGTAAGGAAGGCTTTGCCGGAAGAGCGATTGTAAATCATGAGACTTGCGCATAGTGTGGTAACCTCTTTAATGCATATGGTCCTATTTAATGCCAAAAATTATTTAAAGGAAATTATTAAACTGCCCAAATAACTGTTAAACGCATGATAGAGCTATTTTATGGTACTGTGTTTGACAGTTAAATATTAAGTAAACGTTTAATTGACTTGAAGCTTGAAATGTTCAAAATGCTCTAACCCTTGCTACATAGTGTTTTCTGCAGCAAGTCAAGTATTGTGTGTGTTTTTTCCCACCTGTAGCTTATCAGGCCCGGTCCAAAGCCTTCTAGCAGAGGGGATTGATTCCTGTCAGGGGTTGCTGCCAAGACATCGGAAGGATTTTTGACCAAGGTTTTCAAAAGCTCAGTGTCACACCTGCCATTTGATTAAGAAGAGATTTTGGATGCAGAGCCTGGCATTTATTGTCCTTTGTGTGGCTGTCTTGTTTTGTCTTTGTGTCTTCTAGATTTGAGCAGTGTTCACACTAGTTTTTAAATGGTTGGGTGGATTATATATTTTACATAACCATGTTAATATATTCCCATTAACTTTTAATCATAAAATAGTGTGGACACAGCATGTTTTCTAACTGGTGATTAACCCCTTAAATTTTATGAAATACATTCTTATAGGTTAAGAATTTTCCTTTTTTAAATAAATTTACTGACTTTTTTGTTTTGTTTTAACTGGGTATTAGGCAACAAGTATGATTTTAGTACAGTATATCTAAGGGGTTAATCTGCTTGAAATATAAAATGGGTGCAAAAATCCACACTCTCAATCTGAGAGAAATTTTCTAGCTCTTAATTTGTTTTTAAATTGCAATAGGTGTCTTGGCATCTTTGAAATTATATCATTAACATTTTCAAAGTTATGAATGCTTATATGCAAAAAGGAAATTTTTCTTACATATTGGAGGAAATAACAATCTGAATTAACATTAGAAATTTCAGAAACATTTTTAGAAAGAGATTGCACATTGTCACCTATTTGCGTTCTAGCTTTAGCAAATAATGTAAATAATTAGGGACATGAAAAGAGGGTCTTTCCGCATGTTCTGTAACCCTGCTTTGAGGAATGCGGGTTTTTTTGTTGTTCTTTTTTCCTTCCTTTTTTCTTCCACAGTTAGCTGTGCTTTCCTGTGTTTCTTATCTCAGAATAGCCCATTTCTTATGTTCAATATATTTCTGGATTCGGTAGTTGTTCTTGCAGGTTTTGAGATTATTACTTTTAAAAAATAATATTTTTGTCTTGATATTTTCCTCTTTTTAAAAAAAAAAAAAATATCTTGATTTCAGAGAGAGGAAGGGAGAGGGAGAAACATAGAAAAATCACTGATGAGTCATTGATCGGCTGCCTCCTGCAGGCTCCCACTGGGGATCAAGCCCACAACCCAGGCATGTGCCCTGACTGGGAATCGAACCACTACCTCCTGGATCCTAGGTCGATGCTCAACCGCTGAGCCACGCCTGGCCAAGCGATATTTCCTTTTGAGAACCCAGATTCCTCTTAGTGTTCATTCTCACAAAACCATATAGTGTTCTTTTATTATCTGTAAGTCTCCCTTCTAAACTGTCTTCTGAAAAATCTGTGCCATCTGATTATTGAGGAGTAGGAACTAACAACAGTATGAGCATATAGTCCAGACCGAGCATAGAATTTTGTATGTTATCTATTCAAAATATGGACAAGGATCTCTTAAGAGTTCTGAATGGTCATATAAAATATGCAGTCAAGTAACTTGCCCAGAGTTGCAGTAGTACTCTTAAAATAAAATCATCTTTAACTTTTTCTTTTATCACATATTCTTTTTCCCTCATCCATTTGGCACCCTCAATGATTTATTACATTATATCCTAACTGTCCCATAATTTTGGTGTTCTTTTGCCAGAAGACTTAAATTGAATAGATTACTTGCCGGTATATAATTTCCCTGTAATTTAGAAAATATTTATACGGTTAAAATCACCAAGAGTTGTGAATTTGATGGACTTAATTGCTATTTATTTGTGAATAGTTTGATTAGCAAACTGTTATATTTAAACACATTTTACATATATATGTTTAGGTGACTATAAAGCTGGCCTTCCAGCTACTTTCGTGAATATAAAGTTAACTACTTGTCCTGGTTTAGGTTCAGATTTCCTTCTCAAGTTTTATGTAGCTCATTTATGTTTTAATATAATAATCTGATTAAAATCAATTATTATAACCTTAGACCTTATATTTATCATCAAAGTGTTCTGCTTACTCCATCTCTTCTATTTCTGTGCTTACTCTTTAACCATGCTAGTTCCTTTTGCCATTTTCTGTTACCCATTGTTTATCTCTAGTTATTTGGAACACTTTATGGGAACTTTGAATTTTAAAAGGCATTTCTCATATTTCCTTACAATTAATCCCCTTGTGGAAGAGAAAGTATTGAACTCTTAGAAATGCCCATTTTTGCCTCTTTATTTTTTTCTATGGTTATTACTGTGTTGTCATTCCATATTTATCATTAATTTTTTGCTATATTAGCTCCAAAATAACCTATGGCCATTTAAAATACTGAACAAACTCAGTAGTGTATTGTACATTCTCATTTATTAAGGTGGATTTTTGTGGTCCCTCTTGTCTTGTCATCTTTGTGCTGGTGCGCTGTGTCCAGTAATCCTTCCTTTTTATTTTATTTTGGTGGGTAGGGTTTATATCCTCAGAAATTATCATATTTCTGAATTAAGAATTTAAGTCTCCTTTTGACCGTTGTGTTGGAATATGTAAATTTGTTGAAAATAATTCCCTGGGTACGTTAAAGTGTTGATCAACTCTCAAATGGCTCGTGTGACACTGATGCTACTTTAAGGAAGTGTCTTGCTCACCTGGTCAAACACCCATTCCTCACTGCATTTTGCCAATTCAATCCATTTTAGATGTAACCTCGGGTATGGTGAAAGACCCACCGGACGTCTTGGACAGGCAAAAATGCCTTGACGCTCTGGCTGCTCTACGCCACGCTAAGTGGTTCCAGGTTCGGAACATCATTTTACTTTTTTATTGTAGCCTTATGAGAGAGTAGTTCAGTACAACATGTTTAACTGTGTTTAAACATTTCAAAAGATTGCCCAAGCAACACTATTTTAAATTAAATTTCAGAAAATATGTTAACATAGAAAGCTGGTTTTGAAGATCTGCATATTGCAGTTACTATTAATTTGACAATGAACTTAGGTTTTGGGGGTGTTTTGTAGTTTGGGTTATTTTATTTTTATTTTTATAGCTATATTTAAAGTTGACTTGTTTAGGAACATCACATGTTTGTGTATATATATTATATTCCATAAGGCTGCAGATTAACTTTGCTTTAAATAATGGAATATGTGTTTAAAGCTTTGTGTATAGTTTTAAGATTCCCCCCCCCCTTCTCTAAGTTAATAAGTGTAGGGAGTGAAAGGTGAGGAAGCAGCTGTTTGGTTTAGTGACTTTGCAGTCATGCAAAGGCACAGAAGGGAAACCAAACAGATTTCCTTAACCTTTCAGTCCCTAGACAAACTTTTTAGCTCTTTACTTTTTCTTTTATTTCTAATGTAGGCAGATTTTTTTTAAGTTTATTGATTTAAATGATTACAGGTCAAGGTTCACAGGGTATCAAGAAATATTATTCTTGTATAATCTGTTTACTTTGACCTAAAATACCAGCTTTTAAATACTAACCCTGGCATAAAATATTGCTGTAAATGGCAGCTCATTGAATCCAATGTCAAGTGTGATTATTTTTGTTTTATTTTTATCTGAGCTTCCATTGAACAGTGGTATTTTAACTTTTTTTCATCAAGGGATATTTGTAGTATTTCTAAGATTAATTCAATTGGTTTTTGTGTTGCTCTCAAGGCTAGAGCTAATGGTCTGCAATCCTGTGTGATTATCATACGTATTCTCCGGGACCTTTGTCAGCGAGTTCCAACTTGGTCTGATTTTCCAAGCTGGGTAAGTAGTGTGTAACTGTATGGTGTCAAAAATGAACATTTAGGAAATACTTTTGCAGTTCTTATAATTTCATCTTATATTTTATTTTCATTTCCTAAATACAGTTTCCTCTTCCAGTGAGAAATCCTGGGGGAGTTAGGGTTTTTAATTTTTTGAGAATTTAGTATTTAAAGAACTACACTTGATGGGGTTTTATTTTGTCTTTTCCTTTCCTTTTTTTGTTGGTCTCACAGTGACAGCAGTTATTAATTGGCTTTTACTATATAGCAGTACAAAAGACTAAAAATGAGCTATTAATCTCCCTTTGCAGGGTTAATTTCAGAGAGAGGAATAGAGAGGGAGAGAGAGAAATATCAGTGATGAGACAGAGTCATTGATTGGCTGCCTCATGTATGATCCCTGCTGGGGATCGAGCCCGAAAACAGGGCATGTGCCCTGACCAGGAATTGAACTGCGATCTCCTGGATCCTAGGTCAATGCTCAACTGCTGAGCCATGCCAGCCAGGCAAGGTTAGGAATTTGAAAAATTTAGAAATAAACATTATTCAGAAATAATATATGTAATGGTAGAACATTCAAATAATGCAGAAAGGCACAAAATAGGAAGTGATTAAAGGCAGATTATATCTTAACAGTTTGTTGTGATTTCTTCCAGGGGTAAAGGGCATGCATATAGGTTTTTATTTTTATATATGAACCTTTGATATTTGAACCTTTTTGGTTCCTGAATAGAACAAATTCAGACAGAGGGGTTCATTGGAAAATATAGTTGAACCCTTTGATTCCACAGTTGGGTTGGGTTAGTGAGAGTTGACTAGCCAGGGTTACCTAAAGTCAGTCTTTCCCTCCCTCCCTGCCTTCCTCCCTTCCTCTGTCTCTCCCTCTCTCTCTTTCATCCTTTCTCTCTCTCTGGAGGGGTCATGCTATTTACATTATTTGCATCCGCCCTAACAAAGCGAATCCTGGGGCTCTTTGAGAAGGGCGTGTCAGGTCTGCCCCATTCTCCACATTGCGTACGTGGCATTCCCTCTGCATGATGTGCCATATTTTATTTAACTGGCATCTATTTGATGGATATGGGTTGTGTGTAGTGCTCTGCTATTAAATGTTCATACTGTGGTCAAACTTTTGTATTATATACGTGATAAATTACTAGGGCTGGAATTCCAAAGTCAAAGAATATGTGCTAATGGTTCCCCAGAAAGTTGGATTAATTAGAACTTCCAAAAACTGTTCAGATGATTATTTCCTTCATACCCCCATTAACTGTGGGATGTTATCACTTAGTAACAATATAATAAGTCAAAAGTAGTGTCTCATTTAACTTAATGTTTCTTCGAGTGATTGCTGGCATTTGTAATTTTTCTCTTTAACTGCCATTTCCTTTGTTACTTTTTTAAATTTATATTTCTGTAAGAAATTGACTCTTGTATTGAAAGTTGCTTTTTTTTTTTTATTTGCTTTTCAACTTTATGGAATTTTTGCTACATAAAAGTTTTTTTTTTAAGTATATTTTTATTGATTTCAGAGAGCGGAAAAGAGGGGGGGAGAAAGGGGTGGGGAACATCAATGATGAGAGAGTCATTGATCGGCTGCCTAGCCCGTAACCCGGGCATGTGCCCTGACCGGGAATCAAACTCCGATCTCCTGGATCCTAGGTCAATGCTCAACTGCTGAGCCACGCCCGGCCGAGCTACATAAAAGTTTTTATATTTTATTATTTATTTTTAATCCTCACCCGAGGACATCTTTTCCATTGCTTTTCAGATAGAGTGGGAGGTGGGGGGTGGGGAGAGAAACATTAATGTGAGAGAGAGACATCGATTGGTTGCTTCCAGTACACACCCCAACTGGGGCTAGGGATCAATCCTGCATTCGAGGTACGTGCCCTTGGCCAGAATCAAACCCAGGACCCTTCAGTCCGTGGGCTGACACTAACCACTGAGCAAAACTGGCTAGGGCAAAAGTTTTTAAACTTTTACAGATTCTAACTAATCTTTTATGACTTCTGGGTTTTGTATTCTGCTTACAAAATCCTCTTGTATTTTAGGTTATAAATCAGTTCACACATGCTTTCTTCTAGAGCTTCCCCCCCCAATCAGATTATATTTTCTGTGAGTACGCACACACACACACACACACACACACACACACATACACATACACATACATACATACACACACACACACACACACACACACACACACCTCCAGCTAAAAGCTCCCAGAAAGATGTATTCCAACTTACTAGTGGTTGTCTCTGAGGAGTGAGAGGAAGGGGTGATTAAAATAGAGAACTCTGTTTGGTTTTTACAAGGATAAGATATACATCTATTGCTTGTAAAATTAAAAATCAATTTTAAAATTATAAATGCCAGACCAATTGCCAACTATTTCAATGTCATTTAACAATTTTTTAAATAATGATTATCTGTGTTCCCAATCCCCAGCTTGAAATACTATCATTATCATAAACCAGTGGTTCTCAACCAGGGGCAGTTTTGCCCTCTAGGGGACATTTGGCAATGTCTGGAGACATTTTTGGTTGTCAAAACTGGTCATCAATAGCACTGAGGTTGAGAAACCATGTCATCAATCACAGTTTCACTTTTGTGGGCCTGTTTCTGCAGTCTTTTATTCCTCAGTTTGCTTTCTTCTCTCGTACTAAACTCTTAATTATTGGAGCTTCATAGTGTGTTTCAAAGTTTTAATTGTCCTCTTCATGATGTTTCCTCCCTCTCCATTCTCTGACTCCCATTATAAACACCATTTTGCACAGAGGAATTTTTTGGCTCTCATATTTTTTTTTTTCCAAATGAACTTGACTGCCATTTTGTTCATTTTCTCCAAAGTTCTATTGATGCTTTCTAAGTAGGACTGCATTGAATTAATAATTTGGGAAATATCATCACTTTTATAACATTAACTCTTCTTAACAAAAAATATGGGATGTTCTACTTATTTAAATTAAGTTTATGTACCTATTTAGATTTAAATAAGATCTGTGCAGGTTGTTTTTGTTTTTTTGTACTTAAGTATTTTATCTCAGAGTTTTTTCTTACATTGCATTTTCTGGTTATTGTTTATATATATAAAAGCTATTTGCTTTGGATATTAATTTTGTAAACCACCACTTGGCTGTATTCCTTTATTTGTAATCATTTCTTTCATGTGATTCCCTTAGATTTTCTATTCTTAGAATCATATCTACACCCTGGCTAAGCAGCTCACTTGGTTAGAGCGTCATCCCAATATGCCAAGGTTGCAGGTTCGATCCCTGGTCAGGGCACATACAAGAAACAACCAATGAATGCATAAATAAGTGGAACAACAAATAGGTGTTCCTCCTTTCTTCCCTCCCTTTCTCTCTCTCTGAAATCACAAATAAAAAAAATGTTTATTAGAATCATATCTAAAAGTGATACTTAGCCTTTCTCCCTATATCTTTCCTTCTTTTTCTAACTTAATCGATATTCTACAACAAATATGGAATAAAAGAAATAATACTTTCCTATGCATGTTATGTTCCTAATTGTATTGAAAATGGTTGTAGCATGTTGAGTGTATTAAGCATGATGCATGGCCTTGAGATACTTACTTTGTCATGTTAGAACTAGTTTGCTAAATAATTTTGAATCAGAAATGGAAATTAAACTTGATCAGATAAGTTTTCAAGGTTTATTGACATAAGTGTATAGTTTTTTTTCTCCTTTAATCTGTTAGTATTATATATTATACAAATAGGTATTCTCATATTTAGTTACATTTGCATTCCAGAGTTGAGTCTCATATAGTACATGTTAAGCTCTGTTTGCTGATAGTCTACTTGGAAATTTTTCAGTGACATAACATAATTTTTTGTAGTTTTATTTTTGTCCTCTTGTTCAGATTTTGAATCAATAATGAACTAACTATAAAAACAATTTGAGTCCTAGCCAGCTAGCTCAGTTGCTTAAGAGTGTTGTCCCAGTGCACCAAGGTGGTGGGTTCAACCTCCAGTCAGGGCACATACAACAAACAGCCAATATACATAAATACGTGAAACAACAAATTGATGTTTCTCTCTCCTGTCCTCTCTCTCCCTCTCTCTCTTTAAAAAAATTTAAAAAAATGTTTTTTGGAAGCTTTGTTCTTTCTCTAAATTCTGAAACTGTTTTAGTGGCATCAAAACCATCTGTTCCTTTACAGTTTATAAAATTCACGTGACATCCATTCCCAATCCTTTTTAGGGATAGCGTTTTTTAAATGTCTTCTTTTGTGACTAATTAATCCATTTTTCTCTCTCCTGAGGTTAATTTTGGTAACTTATATTTTTCTAGGAAAATCAACCAATTCTTCAACCAGATAACTCAGATTTTTATGTAGTAGAGATTTGCTAACAGGGTTTTTTAAATACCTTGCAACATATTTATGATTACTTTTTCTGGTTTTAATTTTTCTTTATTTGATTAGACTAGCAAGTAATAGCAGTTGCCATATAGAAGCAATGACAAATGGGTATTTCAGTATTTATTTGTGATCAGAATTCACTAAATTCTTAATAGATTTTAAATATAAAAAATAAGCATTACAACTTCAAATGTTAAAAATTTGTAAAAATACAAGCATCGGATATCATCATTCTGTTTTGTGCTTCCTTCAACTTCAGTTTCCTCATACCAGGAGCTTTTGAACCTTCTTCTGTTGTAGTAAATCCAAGCTTCAATACTTGTGAGGATGGTCTCTCAAGCCTCTCCTTCTGGGCCACTTGTGGAGTCTGGAAGTCCAGTATGTGCTGTGGCCCTGCTCTGCTCTACACCTTATTTTTCCTCTTTACCAAAGACAGCAATCAACTTTATAGAGCACTCTCTCCTTTGAGGGTGTAGAGCTGCAAGAACTCAGTGGAAAAGAGAGGGCGAGAGGGTGCGCAGGTGAAAGGAGCTGTGGGGCATAGGCCATGGCAGGGCAATGATGGGGGAGAGTCGGGAGGGACGAGCCAAGCTCCTTACTGATCTTGGAAA